TCGCGCAATCGCTCTTTTCCCAGGTGCTGCCGGAAACAGCCAACAACGGCAGCATAGTGAGACGCACAACGTTACCTAATACTGTTATGCCTTCCGGTATGTTTCAGTTTGAAGTAATTCCCGTTTGTGAAAACAATGTCGACGATCTGAGTCAATTAACGCTGAAACTTATTGATGATACGTTACCCAGATTTTAGCTCCTAATCATTAGTATTGTTAGAACGGAGTCTTTATAATATATATCAGTGATTTGAATAATAAACAACTACTTGAATATGATATACGTATGTATTAATAGACACTTTTTACCAGTATATTCGAGTATCGACTATAGTATCTATTATAGTAATTATAGAATAGAGGTAGAAGTTTAATAACCATTTCAATCTTAATAACCTAATAAGAAAGGACTGTTTTGTTTAAGTATCTTAAATTTAGCCAGATACAGATCTGAAAATAAATTTATTGGATCATCAAATAATCTCAAGCATGATGAGAAATGCTATAAAACGCAAGTTTTAGCATTCTAACAACTAATTTAAGCGTTCCACATAACTATTTTGATGGTCCAACAAAATTATATTCAGATCTACAGATAAATTTTTAGATACATCAGCAAAATCGTTCTTTTCCTGAAGGATTCAATTTTTTGGAGGAAGAAAAGAACTATCTATCATTCTCTGATCCATTTTCAGGCAATGCGTCGGTGTTGCTGCAGTCGGACGAATGCAACACCGGCCGGCATCCTCTGTTGGCGAACAATCTACAGGATGGTGGTGCTGACAGCGATACAAATAGCCATTGCGCGTTAATACTCGAGGAGACGACACCTACCTCGACGAACAACCACAATTGCGCGGCCGGCGGCGGTCGTGAGAAGAGCAACGGTAACAACAACTACGAGATGCGTGAGTTTAACCGCAGGCTGTTGCTGTCGAACGGTACCAGCCCGGGCACAGGAGTGACCGTAACGAGCGGTCAGAGTAGGCGCACCTGACTATGGAGATGGTGGCGAAGCACCCAGAACCGTTTCCTATACAGGAGCAATCGGCGGCGCGCCGACATACCGCTATACAAGTAGAAGTACGACAAACCCTTTTGTCATACGTTTCAGTTTCTTTTTTAAGAAAATAACACATACATCTAGCGAGCTACTGGCTGGCGCGAGTCCAACGGACGGTGTGATATACCTAAGGAAACGTCGCCGCCGCCGTCATCATCGATGTCATCGTATCGATGAAATCGGTCGAAAAGTGAAGAAGGTTGACAATTGCTGCGTAGCTCGTCTTCTATAGTCATCCCTACTTCTCACCCTCGAGGTCTTATCGCCGATAGTGCGCACAGACGTAACACCGAGGGAAGACTGCGGCGACGGATGACGTTGACGGTACATGAGAGACCAAGCATTCACGAATCGATATCACGGTGGGACTTTACAATTATTAATGAAAGAACCAAATCAAAACATATATAATAGTGCGAGAGAGATAGAGAGAAAGAGAAAGAGAGCTATCTCCATTTTTTGTAAGGCAAAATTCACGAAGGAGCGTTTAAATTCGCGAAGATCGCGGCGCGAGAGTGAAACTCCTCCGATCATCTTGCGCGATCCGGGGGTGAAAAAAAAAAGGAGAGAGCGCAATCCGAGGCTGGAACGTCGTTGCCCTATGATTCCTTAAAACGAGCGGCGAGCAACTCACCCCGCGTGAAAGACAGTTTCGAAGAAACCATTCTATTTACGGCCCGTACTCTCGTAGTCGTATGCTAATTTCGTCATCGTCAACGTCGAACTATAGAGGGTAGGTGCACGCTAATTTTAAATGGCCGTTAGAAACAACTTTCTTTAGTCTCCTGACTTTTACAGAATAAATCCGCCGCTTTTCCACGCGAGCTTTCGCTGTGTTTGTGCGCGCGCGTCCCTAGTCACGGTGGCTATACCGTCGGGTTGTTCATTAACTGCCCCGGGCTCTCCTCGCGAGTATACACCTTGTATATACATGCCTTACTGTCCTCGCATAATCGGTGTGCATAACTACTTTTGCAGGTTTTATTTTTAGTCGTGAAACTTTCTTGCATTACCCATATCCGAATAAAGCCGTCATCGATCGTGTCATCAGTGTACCCGGGATATCGTCCGTTATGCCGTTTCTCATTCGAAGATAAACTCACGCCGGTAGTATGTCACAGTCGAATGTAACTATCGTCGCCTATAAATGACACACGAAGCTCTTGTTCGCCGTTGGATCTCCGCGTAGAATTGTTTCTGGACCGACAATTCTGTTGAGTTAATTAAAGACTCTGAACTAGTAATCAGATATACTTCGTGGAATCGTGTTTCTGTCTGGCAAAACATTATCTTGACGATGCATCTCCTTTCTGTCTATGTTATATAATATGTCGCAAAGATATCTCCCTCAAAGATCTCGTAGAGATATTCATTTTATCTTTTGAATCCACATCATAGATATTATTATATCGCTATTAAAACAACAGAAGCAGCGAATTTAGTTGATCGACGTTAATCGATGTCTTCTATCGCAACTATTTGAAGAATAGTTATAATTCAAGACTTGTTAACAACTTTCGAGACTTTTCTTCAACTTGAGGAAACTATATCTTTGCGACTTCATGTTCGATTTTCTTAATAATGCAAACAACTTGTATTTATCCAGACGCGTGAATTGTGCTTCACAGTGCTGTTTAATCAGTAGCTTATCGTATCTCGCGACTATTCATTAAGTTCTGTAATGATTCTTACGAGATAATTACGATAGTTACGGGAGAATATTGTGAGATACTACTGCTAAATTGATGATCCTCCTACCCTTCTCTGACAAGATGAATATACGTTTAGACAAATTATTCTTGAGCGACAAGAATTCGCTTAGTTTCCTCTTTAATAACGTTAATAATGTAGGCGATGATTAAATAATTTCTAATCGCTTTTACATAAACATCTAAAAGATACGCGTCACGCAAGTAGCTTGTACCAATACGTTCCTTGTAATTACACCATCATTACTGAACTAAGATAAGTATGGACCGGAGATATTTCATTTAATGTTTCAAACTGTTTTTCCTTTTTCTTTTCACATGCCTCATACGCCACTCCGGTGTCCCAATAATTGAGATCCATCTTGTAAGCGATAAAGACGTAGCGTAACAATCGAAATAATTGGCTTCCTAGCTAGGATTAAAGGAATCTTAGGGTTATACATTTAATGGGGATGCAATGATAACGGATACAAATAGTAGGCTGTATATACCGGCATAGATAATAAGTATCGATTGTCTGCTTAAGGAGAAACCGAGATATTATCTGTTAATTGTTCAAACGCACGTCCCCCGCCGATGTCACAAAATGGGACGCTTTACGTTGATCCTATCTATCTGTCGCAGTTGAATTTACGTGTTTCGAAATCTGGCGTTTTACATGTCCAAGTATAATTACGCTAGTCTGGAAAACAGGGTAATTATTAATCTCAAATGGTTGCCTGATCATCTTTGGGCCACTATTAGCGAAGTAGAACATTTATGCGTGTCGCCAAGTAAGATAATTGACTCCTTTCGTTTTCTCCAGGTACGAAGAGATTCTTTTGCCGACCACGTGCAAGTTCAATCATTCTTTCTTAATCAGACCATCGAATTATTGTTGAATGTAATAACAATGTGAAAGCTTACACCTCGCAGACACACAGCCTCTGCCACTAAATGTATATAAAGATGTTATATACAGAAGATAGAGAGATATTAATCGTTTTTTAATTAATTAGGCGAAAGAAAATACATTCGGAAAGAAAGAAAAAAAAAACAATACGAGACTTATATATCAACTCCGGAGAAACGAAATACTTGAATTCACTTGGGTTGTTGTATCAATGTACCATCAATTAGAAAAAACAGAGCGAAAGATTTTAGACGTTTATATTTTATTCGGTCGACATTTCCTGATGTTATAACGTACAACCACATTGCAAGAAAGACTTCAAAGTTCAAACGAGCATAGCGATTTATAATGGAGATTGGTATTTAAATGTAATATATACAAATTGAAGTGGAAGACGTGCGGGGAGCTTTGGAATAGTGCCTGCTTAAAATCCGATTTATTATATATCTCAAACAATTAGGTATGGTTGAACAATTAGTCGTTTGCGACATTGCACGTTAGATCCGAATCCGACAGATCGATCAATAGGAAGCAGTCTACAAAAATGCAATCCATTTTTTATTAAGATAAGAAAAAAGTAGATAAAAATTTATTCTGCATCATCTTTTCTAATATTAAATAATGTCGCTGAACAGATCTATCTAAATAAATATTCTATCTCATTGAATGTTACTGAAAATATTTAACGATAGTCGAGATACGTTCGCACAAATGATATAAAGACCGATTTCCTATTAAACCGCGCGGTTCCTTGATCAATCGATCTTTTTCTGCCAGATGTGCAATGTCGCAAATGAGATATCTCATAGAGTGATCGTAGCGCGATATCGAAAGAAAAGTATGCACACTTAAAAGCTTTGACTACCTTAATATTGTATAAAGACGACACATACGCGATGAAGAAAAAAAAGAGTGTATCCAAAGACTGTTAGTGAAGAAGAGCGAACACGAAATAATTAACACGTAGTTACAAGCTACAATCGAGCTCAATAGCGCGTTTACGAACCTTACGTTAATGAACCTCTCATAATATCGTATCGACAAGCTTGCGTCTGTATTTAATTTACGTTACGGGGATACGCCGCCGGTTTCAATACGGCCGTATTTCATAGGTTTGCTATTCTATAAAGCGTTTGTTAACATACACCATAATCTTCCCCTGTTCTACGCGAGATTTCCCATTATTTTATATTATTAAGTGTACATAAAAAGATAAAAAAAGTGGTAATTGTATATAAATACTGTTACTGTTCTACAAACTATATTATGTAATATGAATATATAAGGAAAAAATTGGTTATTTAGTATAACTTTGATTGTGAGATTTTTGACTTACTTTTATTTGGGGATCCTTCACTTGCAGGACAGTATCCAAGACTGACGCGCCAATAACCACCTGAATAAGACATTAGCTTAAGTATACTTCAAGTAGAAATAGTGCAATGACTTGTTTAACGCTGTGTCAGCCTTAAATGTTATGATAAAGCATACTGATAAGATAACTTCCACGTCATGCCTCTTAATACATTTTAAGTTTGTTTTCAAGAACAGTTCTACGTTCTTTTCAGACTTACAGGTTTTTGTTTTGATATTATCGATGATGCAGAAGTAGATCTTATATGGGCTGTCTGAGATTTTTCATAGAGATTCAAGGCGATTTCAGCTGCGACCTTGGCATTGTTTTCTATGAGAGCTATATCTATAAAATTGTCATAAGCCAAATATTTTAAACATAACAATTACATTTTACCGCATTTTATATCGCAATTAATTTCTGTTCACTCACTCGCTTCAAGTGACTGACCACGCGTGATCTCATTGAGTTCACTTAAAAGGAATGGCGTAACTTGCTTGCCCGTTATGCGCATAGCATTAGCTTTCTTTAAAGCCTCAGATATAGCAGCCTCCATGACATTAGGCTGCAATGCATATTTTTTAGGAATAGGAACTGCAAATAATATCCCTGTGTTAATACCGAGTACTCTCTGTGTCTCCACAATACCGGCTGCTTCCTTGGCATTGGAAATTCGGCACGGTGCTTTTATTTTGTCTGAAGTTTCAAAACAGTGGAAAGCTGGAAATTCTGGCGTTTCACCTATTTTTACGACCGGTACTCCCTGAGTTTCCTGCGAGCATAAAATCCGTATTTTTATGTCAACTTTTGGAAACAAAAGGGACATTAATAAGTTGTATGAATCTTAGAAATGATTACATATTCATATCTATCAAATCTTCAAGTATATCTACCAAATACTCCAAGGTCTTGCCAATGTCCAGGATTGATTTGACACCAGAGCAGACAACTGCCACCGGCGTGCGTCCAAGTTCAATTAGATCAGCACTGATGTCAAGAGTCAGTTCAGCTCCCCTGTGAACACCGCCGATACCACCTGTTGCCATTATTGGAATACCAGCTGCATGTGCAATTAACATCGTGCCACTGACTGTTGTACCACCATTCAATCCTTGCGATAGAATGAAAGAAATATCCCTTCGTGAACACTTCATAGTCTTTGCTGAGTCAGCTTTAGACAAGGTCTCCAGTTGTTCATTGTTCAAGCCTACATGTATCTTGCCATTTATGATTCCTATCGTTGCAGGTACAACACCCTGAAATAAGCAAAAAGTTTTACTATTATTTACAACATTGTTGTTCAATCGTGATAGATAACTTTCAAAGCTACAGCCACAACTCACAAAATATTCAATATCAATTTAGAAAATTTTTTTTTTAAATAATTCAAACAACCATTATTTTATCAATAATCAAAAAGACCTTTCGATAGGGAAACTCTTAAATTTCAATTACTTTTATATTACTGGCTGCTCTCTCCAGCAAGAGACACAGATAACATAGTGTAACAATTATTACATCCTTATTACTCGTAATGTTTAACAAAGATGAATTGATCACTATGTGTCTCTTGCTGGATAGTACCAACCGTCTATTCACACCCTGGAAAAAAGTCATTGAATATCATACAAACTTGCTTTCTGATTGCATCTTCGACTTTCAACGCGGTATCCAAGTTATCTGGATACGGCATACCGTGTGTGATGATCGTTGACTCAAGTGCCACGATAGGTAAACCGTGCTTTCGAGCCGCCGCGACGTCCGGCCCATAGACGAGCGAATCTCGACCGACGAACGATCTCCGATGGATCGACGGCACGTCGGATCTCCTCCATAATTTTCCTAGGATTTCGTTCAAACGGGATCGATGCATATCGAAATGAACGAACGCGTGAACGAATATGCAGAGTACTTTCAACACGAGCTTCTCTTAGCTTCTAGATAAGACAAACGGATGAAAGTGATCGCGATAATCAAATGTTATTTGAAACGAATCGAGATAAATCGATTAAACTACAAGTGCCGATACGTAGCGAGCGAACGGTACTTTATTCCACCGTTTTATATAATGTCGATGGCATTATGCTTTATTTTTCTTCTGTTTTTATCTTTGTATAACAAGATCGATAAAGGTCCTTATCCGATGTTGACGTCTGTCTCTCGATTACTTCGCCGGCAGCCATGGGCAGCCGTATAGAATTGTTCCCTGTAGCTGCACTATGGTATACCTTCTGCGCTTAATATGAAATAGGTGTATGATTTGGTATTGAAGAAAAAAGAGAGAAGATGCAAATTTCAAAGATAAGATTTGAAATTTTTGTAAATTTGATGTCACGAATATTACACGCGTAATATTGTTTATGTTTGATGGTCAGGACACGTGCGTGCGCGTTTAGATCAGGAAAGAATCAGGATTTGTGCGTCGCGAACAGCTGATCACAGCTGATAGTCTGGCATCTTCGACACGTGCGGAGAATTGAACGTTAGGTTAGGAAATAAACAGAACAGCTGAAAGCCGAAAATGGTTTTGATCTTTTAACTTTTTTTCTTTTAACTTTTCTCGACGTTGGAGAAAAAAATAAGAAAAGATGAACTGTGCAAGAAGTTCAGCTAAAATTGCTAAAAAGAAGACATCTATATAATAACGATAATAATTAATGTTTTTCGATTTAATTAGGCGCGTTAAGCTTTAAGTAATCACTTGAGCAGAACTACACTTGGGTACCGAACTTTACCTTCTCACTGTTTTCTTCTCCGATTGGCTGATCGATTGACCGCCAAAAGAGAAGAAGTTCGAAACATGTTTAATTTTATTACAAAACAAAACAGCATTTTTGCTTCCGGTTGAACAATATTGAACTAATTATTGAAAACGATTTTGAATTTTTAAAATCAATATCTGTAGCGGATTTTCTAAACGTCATATCAGTTATCAATGGCTGCGTTCAACAGAGAAAGCAGCTTTGCAACTGTTGTAAAATTCTTGAATATGATTGGTTTATACATTTAAATCCAATGAGGAATTAAGGGTAAGACCAATCATATTCAAGAATTTTACAACAGTTGCAAAGCTGCTTTTCTGCTGAATGCAGCCAATGATTGTCGCTATCGTTAACTAGCGACAACCAATGGCAGGACAAGGAAGAAAGCACGACTCTCATTGGCTGTCGCTGGTTAACGATAGCGACAATTGATAAAACGTTTAAGCCCAGTTCCACAACTCACGGTTAACTCTTAATCGAGGTTCAACTTATTCACTGTCTCTTTCCAATTTTAGAATTGGAAAGAGATGAGAAACAAGTTGAACCTCGGTTAAGAGTTAACCGTGAATTGTGGAATTGGGCCTTAATATTTAGTTACGACGAATATACACGATTTCGAGTATAGGCCTGAAATGCGTAAAAGAACAAAAAAGTCAAAATAATATCAATTTGACGTCACATTGACCGAATCACTACAAAAAATTGACATAAATTCGGTCAATAATCAGTCAATATGACGTAAAATTGACATTATTTTGACTTTCTCGTTCTGCTTGAGCTTAGATTGCGGGGAGATAAAAAGAGAAGCGCGCGAGAAAGCAAGGAGAGAATAGAACACTTAGTTATAGTTCAGATCAATTAGTTCGGAGTGAGAATTCAGATCAGTATACCTTAATCAGTGCATCGTTAACAAATATATATATTGAAACTAGTATACACAAATTTCAGCGATATTCCGAGAAATACGTAAGAATACTAAAAGTGTAAAATCAGTTGACATTAAATCGAATTTTATCACTAACAAAATCCTGTGAGTATAAATTCCTCGTCACTGCCGATACGAAGGTGATCCGCATTTAAGGTGAATAGCATTTAAGACGGTAAGCATTCTCCTATATTCCTCAAACCGCTTCAACGACTAACCAAAATACGACATTAAAGCTGTATTCAAACAGAACACAATAAGTCATCATAGATCTATTTTTTTATTATAGCTATATACTTTTAGAACTTAAAAAGTGAAATAAGTATATATATTTGATATTTGACTAAAGTGAGAAAAAATTCTAGTGCAGCTTATATAAAAAATAAACTGTGACATCAAAACGATATCGAAGTAACAAAATGTTTATTAATAGCTTTTTCGTAATGGATGTAGATTGACCCGAGAATGATTAAAGTACCATGACCTCATCTAAATAGAAACCAAATAAGTAGAGCATGCGTGTGACGTCATTTATGAGATAATCGATCTCGGATCGATTATTTAAACCCGCTGCAATCGAAAACGCTGTGAAAGATACTTTTCAATCAGCAACGTCATTCATTTTAACGTCATTTCATGGCTTGTTTTTCTGCTTGGGTATTATAATTATCTACATTCTATATTCATTCACTATCAGTGTTGAAAATCACTGCAATCACAAATGCATAGTATGCACTTATGTATATGCTGTAGATTTTCAGTACTGGCAGTAAATATTGAAACGTAGCCTTCACGAAAGGTCTCTAGTGACGTCAGATGAGATAAATGAGATGACTGACAAGGGACGTCACCGATGGAAAAAAATTTTTTAAAACAAAAGTTGTACGGTTTCAAGAGTACTTCAATGTTGTGAAGAAAATTAAAAAAATTTTTTTTTAACAATTGTTAGCAAAAAAATTATAAAAATTTTATTTTCTTCGCAACATATATATATTGAAGTACTCTTGAAACCGTACAACTTTTTGTTTAAAACTTTTTTTTCTATCTTTTATGCTTCCGACAGTATTCGGCTCGAAATAGAAATATCGTTTTATTTCAAAGGGGTGTTTCACCCCTTAAACATGATTTAGCGCACGTATAAAAAAATATATATAAAAAAATTCTTAGATTTTTGTGTTCAACAACATATTTCACGGAGAATCAAATCGGTACCGGATAGTTGGATGACGTCTCTTGTGAGTCTTTTGTTGAATTGTAAAATGTTTTTCATCTAAAGATAATTTCGATTAAATTCCGATTAATTTAATTAATAATTATCAAATATAATATTTGTACTATATTTTGTCAACGTGGATAGAAATTAATTTTCGTTAAAATTTACAAATAAACAAATCAAAAGTTAATGAGCTGAGCTTAGCTCATTAATTCTTGATTTGTTTAGTTGTGAATTTTATTTAAAAGTTTAATTATATTTGTATTAAAAATTTTAATTTTTGTTATTTAACGTATGGAAGAAAAGATTTAATTAAGGATAATGAATATATTATATTATACAGTTATAGAATCGCATGGAATTTGATCGCGCACATCGTAACATTGTTTGCGCGAAACCGCTACTCTTATCTGACCTATTAGAAAAATTTTATGTTGTTTCAAATATTGAAACGAACAATAACGATTGATAGAAAAATAATATTCATCCCTCTTATAGAAATTAATTTAATACTAGTTTATAGAAATAAATTCAATACTGGCCAATTAATCATGCACTTATTTTGAGTATTAAAAGTATTGTTACAGTACCTTTTTAATTATTAAAAATTATGAGACAACGAGTATCGAATGACATTAATCCAATATCGTTCGATACTTGTTATCTTATAATTTTTGATAAATACAAAAAAATTATCATATCTAGCAAAAAAAAGTCAGCAATCACACAATTTTTGCAGTCAACGCGAAGATTAAAGACACAAATGCTATTGGTAAATGCTATGTAATCTGTAAATATTATGTAATATCATCAGTAAATGTGATCATCATTTGGGCTTATTAATAGATTGTTTAGTAGATACCTTATCCGAACCGTTCGTGCTGGTAATTTATTATATATTTGCATATTGCGACGATCCTATTGATTTGACGTCAATTTTTGGGAAATAGATTTAACATGTGTATCGACATATTCTCCAATATGGTTTCCATGTTACTGTAATTGGAGCAGGGCATGATTAGAAATGACCGATACTTCTCGGAATAGCTTCTTGAAACAACTATAATCATAAAAGAATTGCGTTTTTTTTTCCCCTAAAACTCTCCCCCGGCCGTCGTTGCCGAGATTATCGACAATGTTGTGAAAATGCGCTTCGGTCTCGCTGTCGCCGAGATTACAAGTTCATCGAGGGTCAATCCTAGTTGCGTCTGTGTGCGGGAAGCGTGATGTTTTCGAGTGCATAAGATCAGATTTTTGCTGAATCTCGAGAGACATTTTGAGTTCAAGGGTGGAAAAACGCGGTGGGATATGATTTCCAAACAATATCGTCCATATATATCATATCGATGCCGTTGTACAGCACGTAGTGCGCGATAATCTCACTCCGAAGTGTACGACGAGAATGTCCCCGCACAAGGAGCCGCTTTCCCGCCTGCAGAATGACGAAATATATTCGTTTAGTAGATCGCTGAGAAACCAGGAATCGTCGTACACAAGAGACAAACGCAATTATTTTAGTGAGAATGAAAAAAGGTACATATTTCCTGTCAACTAGTGAATACCAGTCACGAGTTCTTATTAATCTTTTACGATTAAGTTACAAACCTTACAATGTTGCTTATAGGATTGACCTATAAATCTCCAGACGCTTTAGTAGAAATATAAATGAATAAACCGACATGAATAGAGTCACAAAGAAAATATTATAGTAAGAATTACAATAGAGAGTCTTCGTTAGCCTGGTATTTTACGAGAGAGTTGCTGCAATTATTCGAATTTTTAATGTAAACCTACTTTGTTAATTAAATTCCTTGTGAGAAAGAAAAAATTTCAAAATTCTTGGCGTAGTTGCTTTTACACAAGTTATACGTTTTATTTCGTCCACGGAGAATAATTACGATGTCGATACAGTAAATTCAGACGTAACAGAAAATAGACTGATTGAACTAAAATAGACGTTTTAAGATTAAAACCCACTTTAGACGACCTATAATTCGTGTCAGATTTCAAAAGATAGAATCCTATTTATAATTTATTATTATTCAAAGGATCAGAAATACGTGCATATATAAATATAGGATGCGCACATGTATCAAAATACGCAGTCTATATGAAATTGTAAATAGAATTCTGTCTTGAAAACGCGAATTATAGATCGCCTAAAATTAAGCATTGTTATATATATCTATAAATTGTCCCCACAGTGCGATTTAAAATACCTATAACTGTTCACAGTGCACATCGTAATTTCTATTAACGCGATCGGTGAAAATCAATAGTCCATTGTGCAATTTTTATAACAACAAGTGCTCCAATATCTTACAACATTGACTGAGTTCAGTAAAAAAAAGTAGCTTTGCAGCTGTTGAAGAAATTCTTTTATATGATTCGTCTTGTTCTTGGTTTCTCATGAATCTAAATGTATAGGTAATTCAACCATATTAAAGAATCTTACACAATTACAAAGCTGCTTTTCTGCTAAACTCAAACAATATTATAATTTAACTTCTTATAGTGAGAGAGAGAGAGAGAGAGAAAGAGATTATATATTCTTATTACAAAAAAGAATTAATATTATTTAACTGGTGTAATATTTTCTCTGTATTCAAATAAGTCGGAAAGAAGTAGAAGAATATATTGTGTGAACGAATAAAAAATTTAAAGGGTAAATAAATTCAGAAAGAATCTGTGTTTAGGAACGAATACGAATTAGGCGCTTATGCTTACGGCAAGAATAATGTCAAGTTGTTGTACGTAAATCGGAATAATGAACCTTGCCACGACATTCGCGAGTACGAGATCGACACGCACTTACGTCTGTACGACCAGAAGGAGTTTTTAGAGGCTGACAATCGCGACATCGTCTCGACGGATAGTCAGAAGAATACGGTGTACCTGCTAGCGAAAAAGCACGGCGTTCAATCGCCCGAAACGTTCGCGCTTTTACTTTGCTCTCACTTCCTCTACACGTACAAACACGTGGCGCAAGTCAGTATCAACATCGAGGAATACCCATGGACCAGGTATTATGCTGACAACCGGCCACACAATCACGCCTTCGTTATGAACCCTACTGCGACGAGATTCTGTCAAGTCAGTCAGGTCAGAAATGGTACGATTCGAAAAAAATGATCCGTTTATTTCACATAGCTCATTGAGACTAATTCGAAAAATGAAAAACGATCTATTTTAAATTTCTAAATAGATTAATTTTTTAAACAGAATTAATTTTTCATTCCTAGCTAGCGTGATTTTTTTATATCATTATCATTATTATTTTTTTATATCGTAAAATGTTTAAGTTACATAAATTATGAAAGTTTGGTATCTTTTATTTATATGTAAGATTTTACCTTTTGCCCTTAAATTAAAATATGTATTAACGCAATACTTTTTAATGCATGCACTGAGAAAAAAATATCTTAATTTCAAAGAAATATTTCTTTGCTCGTATTCAAACAAATTATTACGTTGGATCAATGAAAATTTCTTTGAAATTAAAATATGTTTCTTAAAATAAAAAATATCTTAATTTCAAAAAAATTTTCATTGATCCAAAGTAATAATTTATTTGAATATGAGCAAAAAAATATTTTTTTTAAATTAAGATATTTTTTTCTGTGTGACAACATATCTCGGTGCATGTATTTGATTTTATTTTGAAAAGAAAACTTTGTAAAATTTATTACAAAATCAGAAAATATGCATTTGAACAAGCAGAAGATTAACCTACTGCTAGCTTTTCATTCAGCATTTACTCGGTTCTAGGACCACCACAAATACGCGGTGGATTAAAGGGGTTACGAGTGTTGAAAACCACTCAGAGCTCGTTTGCAAACTTCATTCAGGATGAATACGGCACGTTGCAAGATTCGCACGATCGTATTTTCAGTACTGTTGTAATGGCAACGTGGGACTATACCACCGCCGAGGTAGATTTTGATGGTGCTTGGCATGTGGTGAAGGAGTGCATTATGCAGAATTTCGCGGGTCCACCAGATACGGGGATTCACTCGCCCAGTGTACAGAATACGCTTTATCTCACAGAAAAGTGCATACTTGATAAAGTTAAGCAAGTAAGCATTAACATATTATTATCACAAAGTAATAGTTTACTACCTATTTCATAATATTTTGCCAAAAAGATATTAATTTAATTTAATTTAAGATTAAATTAATAAGTTAAAATTAAAATAAATATTAAAAAAATATTTAATATTATTATATATAAAATATTAAATAATAATAATTATATATTATAATAATAAATTAATATATTTAATTATTTTGTTTTACTTTATATGTGTGCATTACGCGGAAATAAAATATTTACAGATTAGTAGCGTCGAGATGCAAATGCCGAACAAGCATTATTTCGATTGGGATTTCAGCTCGTTCACCAAACTAAGAATAGAAGGACAGAGCAAGGAGGTTTATCTACCCTTAGATAAGCCGTCAGGTATTATTTACGGTCGATTAAGCAGAAAAGATTCCTCGGCCAAATTATAGACATGTATGATTGTTGAATTATTAATAAAGTTCAAATTTTTTATAATTAGACTAGGTTGTTCCATCTTTCAGTAAACTTCACTGTCTTACTCTCTAAAGCTGGAAACATAATGGGCACAGGCAACAGGGAATAACTAGTCGTCCCCCCAATCAGAGCTCTGGGGTATAAGTTTGTTATTATATCAGAGCTATGATTGGACAGCTCGTTATTCCCTGTTCCCTATACCTATTGCATGTGCCCATTGTATTTCCAGCTTTCCTCTCTTATGCTTTTACTTTTTTGTTTATCCAATAAATAAATTACATAGTTTATTTGAAGTTAGAACAACCGGCTTTTAATCTAGCTCCGAACCTCTCAAATAAATTTCTAAAGCCCATTTTAAACTCTATAACTCGTGCCAGATTTCGGAATAAAATTCTGTATTCTTTATACGTTACGTAATTTCATATACATATATTTTATATATACTCTAATTCTTTTAATTTTTTCTCATATACGTGCCACGTAAACAGATTTACATCTGGAATTATTTTATTTTATTTTATTTTACTATAAGCTCTAATAATATCATAGGAAGTATGGGACAAAAAACGCTCAAATTGAGCGAACACTTTCTTTTAATGAAGTTGTCATCGGATTACGAAAAATTTCACGTAAAAAAATTCACTTCTCTAAAATAGATTACAATTTATAAAATATGTTCTCGGCGGCTGTGGATCTATATGACGTGCCTCCGGCATGGTGGGAAACGGACTGCGTGAAATACGGGTGAGATTGAAGTCTTGTCACTGATTTTCGCCGAGAATAACCTCTTAATTAATCGACACAGACTCAGTTATACACCCGTGAGATCGCGATTAACGTCACTGATGGGAACTAATGTAGTGAGATTGACGGACCGCAGATACATGATGCATCTCGCGTCGAGATTGCAAGAAGATTACGAGGCGCAGCAAAAGGCTCGCATCGAACGAAGGAAATTGAAAGCTGTCTCAATTGTACCGCAATTGAATGAATTATTGCCCAGGTCGTTACTGAAGACTACTCGGCGACGGCGTGAATGTTCGCCAAAATTTCACGCGTATGCGGCTAAAATGTGTAAACAACTTCCACATGTATTACTCGCGAATGATTTAGAGCCTCGTCTCAAATTATAAATTATAATTCTCATAATAACATTCACATTTATTTTGGCCGTTTCGACCAGTAAATCTAAATATAAGAAAAAAATATAGAGTCAAGGAACATTTCAAATGTCTGTTATGCGCATAATAAATAACAAGCTTCAAGCATGTTCTTTTAATTAGCTGAACTTCTTGTATGATTCATCTTTCTTTTTTCTTCCGTTAGAAAAAAAAAGGGAAAGGATGAACTGTGCAGAAGCATAGAAAGAGCTGTTCAGCTAAAAAGAACAGATCTATCATCAAATTTATACATCTGCTAAACACTTAGAAGTTAAGTTTTTAATTAACTAATCTAAAGCTAAACGATTGAAGATTTGATGTGACGTTTGATGACCAATTTTAATCACAATTGTTAGTTTCGAGAGAGAGAGAGAAACAGGTGTTTCACGGCGAGGCCTTAAGTTGTTGCCGTCTCTATTCGTCTCTGCCGCGACTTCCTCAACGGCAGATGAAATACGAGTGGCCGATTGACGGGGACCTGCACCAGTATTCCCTTGGAGTTTCGATCGATCGTGTCAAGCTCGTCGTCGGTGTCTGTAAAAAGATCGCTATTTTTAATCGCGAGATTGCCCGGTCCTTTTCTCATGCGTTCCAGTCGATGAACGAACAAACGATCGATTTTTCCCCGCGCAGAATTATCTGTACTTACCTAGAATCTTCTCGTCCCAAAGGTCATCCCATAGATTCGACCCGGACAGGTGTTGGAGACCCGACGACATGATTAGCGACGGATCTGGCGCGTATCCGTAATGGTAACCCGACCAGCCGAGTGACGTGAGAGAGTCGCTGGAAAATAAAATGCTCGAGTTATGCCCGAAAAGGATGGTTTTGCTGAAACATCTAAAAATTTATCTAGAATACAGATCCGAAAATAATTTTGTTGGACCACCAAAATAATTTTGTAGGACGCTCAAGCCGATTGATAGAATGTCAAAACTTTTTGCAGCAATAGGTCTGTTCGCGTTGCTTGAAATTCTCAAAAATGTTTGCACCTAAAATGAGATAAATATATATATTGAAAAACGAGAAAGCGAAGATGCTGAGTACAAAAAGTGCAAACAACGCGAATAGAACCATTGCTTAAGCTTTTTGCATAATTATTTTGTTGATCCGACAAAATTATTTTCAGATCTATATATATATATATATATTCATTTAAATGTTTATATACTTCAGTAAAATCGTTTTTTCCGTGTATACGTAATTATTTAAATAATCCAACAAAATTATTTTCAGATTTATATCTAGCTAAATTTTTAAATACTTTAGCAAAATCATTCTTTCCATATATTTCTTACCAAATAAATTAACTTTAATTTTAAGATCTGTTTTCTGTAGCTGAACTAGTATACACTTTTGGAACTTAAAGTGAGATAGGTATGTATATGTTTGATATTTGTCGAAAGCGAGAAAGAGAGTTCTACAGTTTATAATGCAGGAACAGAGAACAGATCATTAGTTTAACTTACTATTTATCTTTTTCTATTCTAAGAATTAGAAAAGGGTAAAGAGTAAAAATTAATCTGCAATAGTAGAAATGGACATTATTAGAAATGGACAGCCAGTAGTCGCATCAGCCATGTGTGATATTAACATAACGTGCAGATAGAATCAAAAGGATGGCGATGAGATTGCAAATTTTCTCACACGCGGCGATATGAAAACTAAACTAAACTTGAAATGTCACTTTCCCTCGTGCGATGATTTGTTATTTTTCTATAGATTAGTTTTTACAAGATGCAATCGAGTTGCGAAATAAGTTTAATCTTTTTTACTCAATATTAGAACATACTCGTAGAGTTCGTCGAGATAGTATTTATCCGGTGCTCTCGTCCATGCTAATAAAGGGAAAGGCATCGGATAATAATGTATGTGGTAGTGTTGTACATGGCCCATCTTAGGTAGCGTCTTTTTTGCCTTCAGAGATTCAAAGAATTCCGTCAGTGCCTTCTTAGGGCTGCAACGTGAGAAAACGTGTTATAAATAATTGAAAATAGAAAAGCGGAAAGTAGAAGAAATGACACACTTGTCGTCCGTATTGCGTACAAATTTTTCATGCCGCTCCGTTCTGTCGAGAGCTTTCGATTTTATCTTGTCTCTAGGGAGAAGAGACAATTTTCTTCTTTAAAAAAATATTATGCTAATAAATTCTAAATTATTAAAAATAAAGGCTATTTAAAAAAGTCTAAATTTGATTTAAAGGCTGTTTAAAAAAATCTTTAGAATGACAGATAAAAAAACTTATTATTCAAACAATTGCGAGTCTACATTTTAAAAATTCAACTTAGAATTTGTTTATTAAAATATCTAAAACAAATTACAAAAAATAATAGTATCAAAGTTTCGACCAAAGAAAACTGGTACAAAATAAAAAAGTTCACAAGTCGAAGGAGACAAAATCGATTTGATACATCTTTCATAAGATTAAATTATTCTTTTCGAATAGCTCTGGCACAAAAAAAATACAAAGACAAACTCACTATTGAAAAAAAAATTCTTCCGAGAGTCCGGCCAAAAGCACCACGGGCAGCGCCAACTGCAAATCACCACAACGATTAATCTATAATCTCCGGTTTTTCTTTTTCTTTTTCTAAATTTAATTCTCAATCGTTTACGTATATATTAATAATCGCCGGTGATCTCGAGCGACACGTCGACTTTGTTCTCGTTGAGTTACTAAATATTTATTAGCAGATCACAGAGCACAAATTGTTGGAGCTGTTAACGTAGGCGGTACTCCTAAGTGCACTTCTTCCATAACGAAGAACAATGTCGTGAAATCTCAAATTTGCAAGGTCGACGCGGTCGTTTTTACACCTGCCATTAAGATATCTGACTCGCTGATCATTTACTTGCAACATCAGCCCCGTCTTCATGCTGCAGCACTAACTGGAAGGTTGATTGGATCGCTACGTCCGCAGTCTGCGATATATGAATAAGACAAACTGAGAATTTCAATGAAACTGGATCGCTTTATAGCCGCGCTCTCTTACCCTCTTTCTCTCCACTCGTACTTTTCATTTTTCCTCTCGGCCGCGGTTCATCAGGTGATCGCTGAAATGAAACAACTTTTCATGATTCAAGAAGCAAGTATCGCCGCGTCGTTGTAATCACTTCCTCGCAGCTATAAGGCTATAATCATGTGCAAAGCACTGTGTGTGAGACGTTTACGGAAAGAACGATTTTGCTAAAGTATCTAAAAATTTAATTAAATACACGGAAAGAAGATTTACTGAAGAATCTAAAAATTTAACTAGATATAGATCTGAAAATAATTTTGTTGAACCGTCAAAATAATTACGTAACTCTCAAACATGATGAGCAATGCTGCAAAAAGTTTTAACATTCTAGCAATCAGTTTGAATATCCTATATAATTATTTTGATGGCTCACAAAATTATTTTCAGATCTGTGTCTAACTAAATTTTTGGATATTTTAGCAAAACTATCCTTTCTGTCTATAGATATGAAAATAACTTTGTTGGATTATCAAAACATATAGAACGTTCAAAATATGTAGAATTTAGTTGCTAGAATATTAAAACATTTTGCAATATTGAACATCATACTTGAGATTTTTATGTAATTATTTTGACAGTCCAATCAAATTATTTTTAAACCTGTATCTAACTAAACTTTTAAATATTTTAGCAAAATTTTTCCGTGTTATGATGCGCATTATTATGAATTATTAAATAGTGTTTATTAATTAAATAGCCATAAAAATGTTTTTTAATATAGAACACAAATAATTTATGATCAGGTTTACGCGTTTAAAAACCTTTTAGATTTATTTAATCGTCTTTCCGACGAGTTGTATTGAAGCTTTTACGTTTATACATCGATAACATTATACATTACATCTCAATTTAAGACTTCCGCTTTCTTGTTGCAACAACAATCGCGATAATAAATCATTTTCACCTTTTTCTTGCAATGTCCATTGAAATAATGCTTTTATTTGACACGTTTTCGATAATAGAAATAGATAAAATATACTGGATAGATAAAAGGAAATTATATAGATGAAATATAATTTCCTTTTTTAAATTATCCTGCACGGACAAATATACATACACGTATATTGTATTCAACATATATGCGTATATTCTGAATGAATTCAATCTGAATGTTTTGTATTTTCAATGAAAACGGTTCTCAGGATTATCAGTTATAGCTCTATCTTCAGAGATATTTTACCAATCTTTATTTAACATTAAAACATATAAATGTCCTAAGAATTCTATTTGCATGTGTCTCGTGTTTACAGCGGAAATGGTTTTCATGATTATTTATCAGTCAAGATTTATAGCTATCTCCGAGAAAAGAGAATCTTCGGAGATATTTCTTCAAAGTCTATTAATAAATATGATGAAAAAATTAATACAAAGTTTATTTTTATGCACAAATCATAAAAAAACGAATTTATTTCATATCGTAGTAAAAAAAAACATTAATTCCTCATTGTTAATGTTATATATCTCAATATAACTATAAAGTGAAGAAAATAGAACATGATATAATGCTTTATTGATACATATGTCGTTTCAACGACATGACTGAAAAACAAATACGAGGCTCATGTTAATGAATAACGTTTCCTATAATCGACAAGTTGTAATTTTGCTTTATAGACGATAAAATATATACGTCAATGCGTAAGAGGCAAGATTCACTTTAATGACTGATTGGAAATCGGCGTTTTATACTAGTGCAAGATGTTCCACATGCGATTTTTTAATCGCGAGGATTACGATTATACCTCGCGGGCACCTTTCACATTCACGCATAAAACGGAAAACGAAGAAAGGTGAAACTGACATTGTCAGATGCTTATCATCGGCGCGACAGGTTCGTCCGAGTAATTATCACATTTTCACAGACATACATCATGCACATGTCGCGCTCAAATCCGTAATAGATTAATACACAATAATGATCGTTTCTCACCGATTTTTTTCAAAACTCACTTTCTTCTTTTTCAATTCTTACTTTCCTTTTCTTACCATTGCTTTTCTCACTTACTTTTAATTTTATATTTCTTTTCATTTCGCACAAAACGCGGGAACTAAATTTTGTAAAAAAAAAATAATTTGTTTAAAAAAAAAAAGAAAAAATAGATTATTATTAGATTGCTTCTTGCCTTAATGAAGTAAATTCTAATGTTAACCAAATGTTGACATTTGACGATGTATGAGCTTATCCAGAAAGAAGGGGGATTCACCCCTTTCTCCGAAATTTATAATTGAAAGTTATAATTAACAAAATCTAATATTTTTTAAATTAAAAATTAGCAACAAGAAGAACCCATACAGTACACTTTATCTGACAGACATCCTGAGAACGTCCTTATGACGTTTAAAAACATAAAGGCATCTTTTGAAAGTCTTTAGGACGTACGTTTTGGAAGTCCGTGCTAGAGAGAGATTTCCAAAATTATCCAAAAAAGAATTCTAAAAATATCTAAGAAGACAATTCATTAATATAAAAATAGCTGTTTATGTGATAACGCAGAAATGCTAAATAAGCAATTCATTAAAGCAAAATTGCAATAAGCAAAAATTGCTATTTGTGTGACAACAGAATTGATAAACCCCTCCCTAAAAAAAAAATTCTACACGCTCATGTGACGATATCAAGACCCAGAGATAACCTACGAATCACGTGAATATATAGCTTCTTTGAAGAAAATATTTTTCAGGCCACGAAGGCCTCAAAATATTATTAAGAAAAAAATGTTAAAAATTGAAATCGTCTATCATTTAGAATTTAGACCATTCATATTATTAATCACTTAGATGTTTTTTATGACATTGATTTTCTTCAGTAGTAAACACTTTAACTTTGTTAGCGATTATAAATTTTACATGTTTTGTATATAACTTTTTTTTTTTGAGAGAGAATGATTGATGTGAGTCATTATTGCAATTTCACAGCTTATGAAAGCGCCATGCCGTGAAAAGATTCGCTAGATAACGATCTCCGTTTCATCGCACGATAGATTTATTCGATCAATTTGTCTGTGAAGAACCGCAAATTGGCTTTCGAATTGGCATATCGGTAATGAACTTGACAAGTTGCGTTAATCGCCATCAGGACGTCCTACTAGCATGATAATCTCTGAACCACACGAGTTGAAGGAGACAAGCGACTTTCTTTTACGTTTACGACAATAACGGGGGCAACTACGGGGCTGGCCGACGACGGAATCAATGGTTTCTTGCAATTAGACTTGGTAGAAAAATAACCGAAAAAAAGAGAAAATTAATGAACCGTGCAAGATGTTTAACTAAAAAAAACAAGCTCTTGTTTCGTGCAAATCACATTTGTCCGGAGGCCACGAAGTGGATTGAACTGGACGCGTCATTACCGGGTGACTGTGAAATAACGGTCATTTATTTTCTCCAACGGAAACGGAGAACAATGGTTATTTACACTCCTCGCGATGCACTTCCTGCAGTTCTTGCAGACGTGATTATCATCATTTACATTTCAAGCGTTGTCATGTCGCGACCGTCGTTCCACATCGGATTAGTTCACTCGATGACAATGCGGAGGGTTCACTGGGATAAATGCTACTTTCGACCATGTTAGCGTGTCGCGAGAAAGATCAGTAAAGAGGAAAAAAAATGAATGAATTAGAACGAATCGAGAGATGGGAAACTTCGACTCTGTCCAAGTCATTTCTAGTCTTTTGTCGGACGTCCTCGCAGACGGAATCCCCCGTCATCGCAATGAAAATTTTCCCTACCGAGAGAAAGCCGACGCGTGAGGTCATGGCCGTCATGGGCGATGGCGTTCGGAAAATTGTCCGAGTAAACCGGTTCTAGTACCGATATTCTTCGATCTGTCGGTTGCCGTTGTCGCCATCGTTCTCATCAACATATGCATGTACGACACGCAGTGCTTTATGCCGCGCCTGTGGTGATTTTAGAAATAAAATGACCGCGAGGTATACTACAAGCTAACGACTGTGCGATTTCTCTTGTATATGCGATTATTATCATAGAGAAATAAGTGCGACTGGGTAATGGACAGAGAGAAACGACAGAAAAACCGGAATACCACTAGCAAGAAACATTAATAGAGCAGTTATCGAGAACGAATCAATCTTCTTTTCCTTTTTGTATTAATTAAATGACACCGAACTTCCAGGAAATTCCAGATAGAGATATATCAGTCTAGCCAAACGAGTGAACAAGAATTTAATCTGAACCTACGGAAGGATCTTTTTATCTTATAGTTAATCGCAGACTTATAACTGTTTCTACCAATGTAGTTTAATTTTAATTTCGGTTCAATTAATTCTTCATCTTTTTCTAGTTCTAAGGCCGGTATTCATAGTCAGTTCTTATATTCAAGATCGTCTTAAGTTCAGCATTGAGGTGTTGCACGAATCAATCAGAAAGCCGCATTAGCGTATTAAAGCTGCGTTCCATTTCACGCATAATGCGCATGATGCATCTTTTATCCTTGTTATTCACCGAATGTCAAACAGGATAAATGGTGAATTATGCACATCATGCGTAAAACGGAATGCAGCCTAAGACATTACTTAAGATGGTCTTGAAATAAGAACCGACTATAAATACCGGTCTAAGAATTAGAAAAAGATGAAGAACAAGTTGAATCGAAGTTAAATAAGTTAATCTTATTAAATAAGTACATCATTGTAGAAACAGACATCAATAAAACAAGGCTTTATTATGTGTATTGCACCTGCAGATTATCTTAGAGATGTTTTGGATTGAAAAGATATACAAGACTAGGATTAAGATTGATTGAGTTATTATGAGATTTACAATAATTTTTTATATTGCATTCTCCAATATATCTTATTAATACAAATGATAGAAAATATATATTTGTAAAGTATTTTTTTTATGATATTTGACATATTTATATATAAAATAATATAATTGTTTTTACGAAGAAATATACGCAATGTACTTTGTAAATTGGGTACTACTTTTTAAAAAAAGAAT